CAGCCAAAATTGATTCCTGATGCGGCAAATGAATGAGGTCTGGGCCACCAGGACAAGGTAGACGTTTGTTCGCCATTTTGGAGGTTACCGTCATATTGACCTGAAAAAGGTGCGAAAGGAAAATAGATATTTACCCGTTGCTACATGATAAACACCACAAATCAAGTCGATTTCTTCACCGGTAAGACGATCATCCCAATAAGCAGCTGCAGAATGACCATCATGGACAAATGCCGTCGATGAGAACATCATCACTGGGTCCGCTGAAACGGTGCGCTTACAATACGTCTTGAATATGCTAAGTTATAGCATGTTGTGAAACAACACTAAAACCACACAAACAATATCTTATCACTCCCAAAAGACTAGCGCAATCCTTAGGTGAGTTCGGGTCCGGACCGTAGTATGCGGCCAGCAGGTTTGGATTGTACAGTTAACAACGAAACAAGTACTATGAGGCACTAACAAAGTCCCCGCAGCACTTCACTTGGCAAGTTACAGCAGTTATCTTTCCGCCACGGCATTGGATGAACATTTGTATGAGATGGATACAAGAAGGTAGTGACTATAAAGATAGTTCTATCACTTCAGGGCAGAGTTTGTACTTGGTGTTCACAAAATATCCCCAGCAATGGCCGATTCCAATTGCTATAATGAGGCAAGCTGTTTCTTCCTTGGCAATTCTCTTTACTGCAGGACTCTCCCGTACAGCAGACCTAAACTTGTCCTCGTTTAGGGATGTTTCCTTCACTTGTATAGTAACAGCTTAAGTGTTGATTGCAAAGTCCAACTAATCGATCCAACAGCTAATGACAGGACTCTCCCTGACGAGTGTGAAGGCAAAGCAGCTGACAAGTCACAACCAATTCTCAGGTGGTTAACCGTTTGAAGCTTAACTGATGAGTCCCTTGCTTGACAATTCGAGCCAACAACCAACTTCAATTTATAGACAAGTTACAAACAGAGATAGTAAACGAATCTCCGCGAAATATGCCTGAGGACACCCACGCCGATAGACGGTGCGATGAACTGGCTGTATGCGGGTTCTACAGGCTGCTTTTATAGTAATAGTACAAACGAAAGGAGATAAACTAGATATAGTAACTGAGATGTGGTGCTTGGTCATGTAGGTTCGTTCCCTCGTGGTTCTTCGTCGATCCCGCATGCTCTTGGTGCTGGGAGATCGTCGGTTTTGACCCCCGCGATCTATATTTGGTATATTGGCAATACCGCGGTGCCTTCCGCACCCGCAGTACGATGCCGCGCCGGCCTGGGGTTGAACCCAGCCTTTTCAATACATTCCTCCTCGTGCTTGTCTTTGGTGGATCCGGCCGCGGGCAGTGCTTGGCCCGCAAAGTACCGGAGTGCCTGAATCCAATCGCTAGAATCCGAATTAGGACTTGTGTGTCTTTGATTTGACAGGTCGCGTCGCGCTGCGGTGCCACGTGATCGTCCAATCGCTTTAGCAGTTCCCTGTCTTAGGGTAATAATGGGTCTATGCTCGACCGCGGCCCGTTAGTAGGCTCCGCGGTAGGTTATACACAGTTATGGGACGCCGCGGCATGGCTGCAGCCGCTTCCTCCATAATGTAACCGTTAACACAACTATGTCTTTGGCAGAGAGGCGCCGCGGTAGCACCGCAGCAGCTCTCCTACGCAGTTTAATGTACCGCACAACATGTTAAGTTTCGCCACTTCATCTATGTAGTCTCTGGGTTGCTTTTATAGGAATAAATCCCTTGAATAGGTTATAGGCGGTTATGGGTATATCTCCTTGGTAGTGTATTCAGAGTACAACACACTGCGGCATCACCGCGGTCGTGCTCTGAATACTACAGTCAGTAGTCGGAGCTCGCTCTGACTCTCCTTTGTATCACCTAACAGAGTCCAGGTATACAGATATGTTTGTATAGCACTGAAGCTATCCTGCACTTCTTAATGATGTGTTTATAAGTGCAAAAATAGCTAGAGGACGTGCATTTGGTGTTGCACCGTCTCACCGTGGAGAACTTCCTCCGATGAAACTTCAGACCTCGCAAGACGGCCAATGATACCGCCGTATAGCAAAGCCGCGCGGCCACGGGCACTAAGCAGGAATCTACTGCACACAGCAACGTATGAGCGGTAGTCTCTCATATCGGGTTTGTAGTTTGGTGGTCGATATCCCAACCCGGAGTAACTTTGTCTGCGGATGCCAGTGCGAGCAGGCGACGTGTTTGGGGAACGACAACAAGCGAGGAAGGTTATTCCGCGAGCCAAAAGGCTCGTTACGACGTCACGTAGGCTCGGGCCCCATCCCTGTCTTGCTATTTCCAGTGCAGTAGTCGCGCTCTGGACTAAAATATCCGGACTGTGGTGATTCTGCTCCGTCTCCGAGATCACATAACACAATTGATTATTGAGGACCTCTCTGCGGACGCTGACTGCCCAGTCGGAATACAGCTCTGACTCTTTTTGATGGAAATCCAGCAAATAACGAGGGATATCGTGCGGTGAGTTTGCTTTCTTACAGTGAGTGAGGAAAAGGCGAAAATGATCCAGTTGGTTTTCATCCGAGATATGAATCGCAGTATCGCCAAGAAACTTCTTGGCGAGAAAAGCCTCAGGGAGTTCGAGAGAGGTGGTAACCTTCTCTTGAGTTACTGTACACCCGAAACGTAGACGAACCATTTCCTTGAAAGTCGGGGCAATCAGCGCTGTGCTCAAGCCAGTTTCCGTGGACTCAGACTCGGTTACGATGGGATGGATTTGATCCAGGTCTACTTCCGAGGTGTGTGACCCAGATGGCTGTAAAACAGCAGCTTCGGCAAGCATTTCAGATGGAACGTCGTCATCTTCCTGGCCATTGTAGCCACCCATATCATTCCAATCCTCTTCTGGCTCAGCAGCGGGCCCAAACTGTTCACATACGTCCCATTCATCGTAGTATGAGTCGTATCGACACTGTTCAGGACCGTATTCTTCCCAAACATCCTCGTATTTGTTTCGGCCAGCCGCTCGAGGAATGTATTGTCCATTTTCTTTCTCCCATACGAAAACTCTTGCTCCCTTACGTCCCGGAACCTGTCCCTTCTGCGCATTGGCTTCCCTCTGCTCTCGACGGCACTTGCTGTCCAGCATTTCGGACGCGGCCGTCTGGGCGTTTTTTTGCCGTCGGCGAAGGAAAAAGGCATCGATATTTTCCCCTTTGTGCTGTCCACTTTTAGCGCTCGACAGGGGGAAATGGCGCGAGAGGAGGAGATGGGGAGATTGAGGATGGCAAGGGAGCTGCATCCGTTGGTGGAGCTGCGTCCGGTGGCAGAGCAACCTATGGATGGGTTTCACGGCAGGAGGTAAGCTGCATGTTCTTGCCCTCAGGTTGAGCGGACCTCCAGCGACTGAATGCCACTTGGCCTGGCAAGCCACGTAAATAAGATATCTCCGCGGCATCAGGGACGAACTTCATCGACCTCAAGCCAAAAGGAACGAAAACACGGGGATACTCGCTGATTGAGCCCCACGTAATGTACAAGGGCATAGGGAGGCGCGTAGAAATGATTGCGGGGATGATCCAGTCAAAATCGCGGGGCATGTCGACAAGTTCAGGGAAGGAACCACGAGGGACACTGAAATCTAGTATTCCTCCAATTTGAGGAACAGAAAAGTCACCGGCGGCCGACTCCTGTAGATCGTTCAGCCACTGGCGATGCACGCCAGCAGCAAGACAGACAGCCTCTCTCCAATCTGGAAGGTCATGAACCGCAAGGACTTCCCCGGCTGAATCCCTCAGATAGCCCCACAGCTCCATGTACCAGATGTACATAGAAACACTGCCGATGAGAGGCAGGAATCCGCGGATGGCACGGAAGATGGCGGTTCGAGCACTCTGTTCAGTGCGAAACTTGCCGAGGTAGCCCCACCGGCTCAGCCAGCCAAATGGTACCATTCCCTTTGTGCATTGTTTGGCGATATCCATCATAGCGTATAATACCCGGCGAAGGTTTATTTCGAGTGTCCACCATTCATCCACTAAGGAGCTCGCCAGACCCCACCGTCTATTTCCGAATTGGATTATAGGAAGTCCAGATGGTTTGTAGTTGAGCTGATTGAGTAGCGGCCCATACCATGGATGTACGCTGGGTATAAACATGATATATGGGGTGGCAGGTGAAGCATAGGTCGGAGACGTGAAATTTCCGTGAATGGACGAGTGATGAGGTGGGGGAGCATCTTCACGGGTCGGCATCTTCTGCAGAAAGTCAGGCTTCCCATTGTATATGCTGTAGATAACATCTCCTATGCAAGCATGGCCGAGGATAATTTCCCCATCGAATAACTGAGAAAAAAATATTAGGTGGCGTTGGGTGGATGGAGAGTGAAGTCTTACAGGAAGGGTGGGATTCATGAGAGCCAGGATTGAATTCTACGAGGCGACGGCGCACCACGCAGTATGTGGGGTGATTGGAAGAAAACCAGCACATCTACAAGGCGACAGTGCACCAAGCAAATGGCGGTGGGAGTTCCAGAGTGGGTGGAAGACAAGAAGGTCCTACAAGGCACAAGTGCACCACGCAATACGTGGATTGAAGTTTGGCGAGTGATTGGAAGAAAACCAGCGTGTCTACAAGGCAACAGCACACCAAGAAAATAGTGGTGGGAGTTCCATAGCAGGTGGAAGACAAGAGAGTCCTACAAGGCGCAAGCGCACCAAGCAGGTACCAAGCAGGTGGTGGACTTGAAAGAACTTGAGGGACGATCACGGGATTTATTGATGCTGCAAAAAATATTATTATTATTATTAATAAAAAGATGAAAATGAACACGTATATCACCTCGCAGGGAGTCGAACCCTGGTTTTCGGAATAAACATTCCGAGTTGGAGGCAATGATAATCCGATGCTCTAACCACTGAGCTACGAGACCGTTGAGGAAATGGGTGAGCTTGAAGACCGATATGGGAGTTGATTATCTCGGGACCGAGATAATCTGATGAAAAAAAAATGAAAATGAGAATGTCTATCAAGGTCTCGCAGGGAGTCGAACCCTGGTTTTCGGAATAACAATCTCAATTGAAGTCAAGATCATCCAACACTCTAACCGCTGAGCTACGAGACCGTTAAAGAAATGGATGAGCTTGAAGATGGGAGTTGATTATCTCCGATTATCTCGGATCGATCTATTAATTAGTGTCACATCGTCAAAGTTTGAAGTCCGTCTCTTTTCTTCTTCTTACCACCACGAACTGCCGGAGCGTATCGCCCCAGCAGTTCTCCCTCACTCTCCTGCCCTGTTGTGGCCTGCCAGGTGCCTGTTGCCCAGTAGGATAGTAGGATACGACTCGAGACGCAGGCCCAGCGCCGCCTCTGTCCAGCTGTCCAGCAATAATCGCTGGGCAGATGTATTTGGAATAGATGGGGTGTGGTTGACTTGTGGCAACCACAATGTTCCCTCTGCTTGAAGGTGCTCGAGTAAGAGCGAGTGCTGAGTGTTATCTTGGAGGTGGTGGACTTACGACGGTGTGAGGCTGGTGCTTGTGCTACGCCCTGCACACCGCCTCACGGCCCCTTCAACCGAACCCTGGACGAGAACGTACGAGGCGCCTGTTCATCCAAATCGGGAATCAAAGTTACCAAATCCGGATTCTCATCAAACACACGCAGCCTACGGTCCCCATCCAACCTCTCACGCCGTTTGTACCACCCGTCCGGTTAGTCACGACGCTCGGTGGACGCTCCCATTACCCGAACTCCGCCCTTGCACGACTCGCACCTCACATACGAACAATGCACCACGCGCTACGGCCCACGAGAGTGGTACGAACCAGCCAATAGCGGGCATCCTGGGCTTGGTATCCTCTTCCCACACCCTAGAAGTCACCAACACTCGAACGCAAGCCTCGTCCGATCCAGTTTCCGTCCTTCCAAACCACTCGAAACCTACTCAGATGCGTCCGGACGAGTCTTCCGACCAATAACTGACCTTTTATGGCCCAGGAATCCGCTCTGCCATGGAACGGGTCCTGCGCCCGTACCGATTTGCATTGTACACTCCGCCCGTTCGCGGAAACGAACCCCAAAATACGAACGTAAGCCTCGCCCGCAGCCCCAAATATTGAACGCACCCTACGTACGTTCCTGCGCGAGCACCCTCAAACTGGAACCGAACGAGTGGGCATCAAGGGACGGTCGAGAGGCGAAAAGGTATAAAAGGATAGCAGAAAAGGGTGTTGTAGTCAGTCAATTTTCGGAGCTTAGTTCTCCCCCACCACCTGTACCCCCACCTGTGCAACTAAGTCTCGCTCACACCGAGTTGACCACATCCTCACTTGCCTCTAGCAGGCATTTCACTCTCACACCCCCTTTCGCAAGGTCCCAACTCATCGGACCCCAAGTCATATCATCGGGCTTCCCCGTAATAGGATCACCAACTTCGCGAGCTTCACGCTTTGTAGAAGTCGGCCTGGGCGAAGCCATATTGGTTTAAATCACCGTCTGCCACCCAGCGTCACGACCGGACGTCCCATACGTTCGACTGACCAGCACCAGCCGGCGTTGCTGTCACTTGCTTTATAACCGTAAAACGTTGTATTAAGCCTTCCACCTTCGTTGGGAACATCGGGGAAACACGAGGGAAGGATTGCAGCATAGGCATCGGATTTTACAGGAAACAACGCGTCGTTCGCTCGAGCTTGTGACCTAGGACAGGTAACTATCACCCCCACACCCGTTTACGGCTAACAGCAGGTACCCCCAACACGAAACCACGGAACGGACGCCTCGTGCGATCCCGTGCAACACTCTCATTCGGACAACGCACACGTCCCAATCCTACATCCCCACTATCCTCCAACGTTAATTAACCCCTAGAGGCCGAACGGGCTGTCTATTTGATAAAACATATTCTCATAGCGGCACCGCGGTCCTTATCACAACGGGAGTTGGGGTGCCATTGCCCTCACGTGAGGATATTTGTTTGATCCATCTGGCTTTGTTTAAATTCCGCTGAACATACCCGGTAGCTTTTGTCTCTGAACCACTACCACCAGAGTAGAGATGCCTCAGATGAACAAGACACGGAAGAAGTCGCCCAGTAAGTCCTCGACCACTCTACTATGTTCACATCTTGATTCCCAATGTTTCCTAGCGCGATCAAGCACAAAGGCCGCGACCAAGACCAAGAGCGCGACGACCTCAAGTCGCAAGAAGGACGGCTCATCTGTTACTTCCCAAGATGGCGCGTCTCTCCTTACCTACATTGAACACGCGTATTCACTGATCTTCTAGTCCAACGAGCTTCGACTCGGTCGAACAATGGGTGGAGTAAGTCGCGACTCAACGTATCCTATTGGCTCTAATGCATTCTTCCACAGGTGCGTCGAAGCGCAAGGCGCAGGATGATGATCAAGATGAGGATGAGCATCCTCCTCCCAGCAAGAAGCCCAAGAAGATATTTAAAGACACGAGTGAGTCTATAATTGTTATGTTTAAAACACTACCCTGACACGCAATTTGTAGGCAACGTTGGTGAGTCATTTGCTCATCTAGCCAAAGCACATTACCGACGTCTTGCAGCTAGTCGTCCCGTCTCCCAAGATGGACAGGAGAAGCGCATCCCCAGGTCCACAATGTCGCGGTTGCTGCGCGAGGGAGATGCAATTTACGATAACCCTCCGAAGCTGACAGTGAAACCGACCATACCGGCAGATGTCCCGGACAATGATCAGGCCCCCCCCTCCGAGGAAACCAAAGGTTTCGCACACACGAGGACCCCTGGCTGCCGAGCCAGACCTCCTCGCGGACGCACCCCGTCCAGTGCAGGCAGCAGCTGCTCAAAGTCGCCAAGTGGTGGGTGGATCCTTTCACTACTTGAGGGTGCTTTATATTAACTTTTGATTAGATTGATCGTCCAGCTCAGCAGACGTCCCAGACTCGTTCAGTAAGTTTGAACTACGCCACAGTTCTCTGCCTCACTCTGGATCAGACGGACAACCACCCGGTACAAGGAGATGAACGAGGGAAGCGCACCCCAGTAAATTTTGAACTGCTTTACGGTGCTTTACCTCACTCTTCATTAGAACCTAAACTCGGATCTTCCACCAAGGCCGTACCACCCATCAATCGCAAATCACAATGAGGCAAGTTCGATAACTGCATGCATTGAACCATTCACATTACTGACAACCTTGAGAAGGCGGCCACAGGCCGCACCGGTAAATTTTTCTTTCCTTTTCTTCTTTCTTCTATGTTTGCTGACTACTTGTACAACCAGACCAGGGACCGCCGGTTGATCACGACCAACGGTCCACATTCTCCAGTGGCAGAATCAGTTTGGCCCCTAACAGGAGGAGGCGGCAGACCGCACCGGTAAATTTTTCTTTCCTTTTCTTCTTTCTTCTATGTTTGCTGACTAGTTGTACAACCAGACCAGGGACCGTTGGTTGATTACGACCAATGGCCCAGAACCCTCTTACCGAGATTTGACTTTGAAAACATCAATGGGACCACTGGCTGCCCCTGTAACTCTTTCTTCTTCTTCTTCTTTGTTCGCTGACTGCTTGTACAACCAGACCAGAGACTGCCAGGTGATTACGACCGACAGCCCAGATCCTCCTTGGGCACCTGGAAATACCACAAATCGCCTCATATTAGATGGTACCTATGTATCATACATACCGCCTAAAATGAGGCGAAAACCACTTCCATGGAAGACACCTTCTGGGCTGTTCCACCCTCTCCACCAGGCGTCAGTCCTGGAGCCAAAACCGAATTTTTCCACCTGTTCCATTGGTTTTGGTGGCCCTGTAAAATTGTCAGTAAAATTTGTGACCCGGTAAAATTCCATTGCTTCCACCAACTGGTATCAGTAAAATTTGTGACCCGCTAAAATTCCATCGTTTCCACCAACTGATATCAGTAAAATTTGTGACCCGCTAAAATTCCATTGCTTCCACCAACTGGCATCAGTAAAATTTGTGACCCGCTAAAATTCCATTGCTTCCACCAACTGGTATCAGTAAAATTTGTGACCCGCTAAAATTCCATCGTTTCCACCAACTGGTATCAGTAAAATTTGTGACCTGCTAAAATTCCATTGCTTCCACCAACTGGGTCAGTACAGTTTGTGGCCCCCTTCTGACTTCCATGGCTTCCACCAGTTGTTTCAAGTTGGAGAAACCTACGTGGCACTTCCACCACTTCCATGCAAGCCTCAGAACACTTGATTTCCACAACTTCCACAGAAATGAACAGAGTAAATTCAGGAGTCATAATTCCTTGTCAGTTGTGAGTACCATTATACCATTATAGTCTCTATCACCTCAGCCAGCTCCTCCACCTCCACATCTTCACCTTCATCTCCATCAATCTCATCAGTCTCCTACCCATCATCCTCCTCCTCACCCCTCTCCTGTGCAAGTCTTCTGTATTCCAACTCAGCAGCAACAGCACCTCCCTCTCAGTGTCCATCTGATCTCTCTGGGTGGCTGGCTCTTAGTTTAGGTTTGTTTGACATGCTGAACCGGCGGTCTGGGACCAAGCACATGATGAACAAATAACACCACACATAATCAGACACACTCATCACATACACCCATTCATGGCTGTGTTATGGCTTTTCCTCACAGTTTTCTTACTGTATGGTGCATGGTATGTCAAAGCCTTAACCTTCCACTTCATGGAAGGTTTTACATTGGTCCGAAAAATAGACACAACTGGGGCTGGATGTGAGATGACAGTGATGTCGTAATTGGGTGTTATCCCTGAAAGCGACCTCCTTCCTTATTTGGTTTCGGAAACCGCCAAAACTTGACCATCGGTTCTGGAGGTATGAACTGAATCAGACCATAATCCACTTTTTTCCCCACCTCAAAGAAAAAACTTGTATTTATGGTCTGACTATGGGAGACTAGCAGGCTCTGGAGGTGGGGCAAGACGAAAGCCTGGCACCAAGGTTCCACTAAACTATGGAGCCAATTTCCTCGCCATTGTCTGGAGACACTTCATGTGGGTATTATCAAAATGGCCCTGCTGCATCTGGTGCTTCCCAATGAAGATTACCAGGTATAACTCTATCCCCTCACATCCTCCTCCTTTGTGGATAGAAACACTCTCTTCTCT